AATGACATTCTTATCAAGGCTAAGGGATACAATTACATAACCTTTATTTCTCCTTGGGATCAATGACTATATATGCTAATAGAGAGGACAATAAGGATGGAACTAGATTTGCGAGCGAGCTTTGGATACAATGGAGTTAAGTTCCACAGTCATAATTGAATTAGAATTTGAAGATAATAGACAATAATCTAATATGTTAACAAAATAACATCTAGAGCATCTTATGACTAGCAATTAGAATATCATAAGCATAGCAAGGTTATGTAACTCTCTGCCAAAGGCAAATAAAGAGAGATAGTAGTGGGAGGAACATCCCTTTTCTTCAAGTCATAGCCTTCCTTAGTTTAGCAAATATTGAGTATACATTTATACATATCTCACTATTTGATTTCATGATAACAAACTTTCTGTGTGCAACCTTATCTATTTGTGTGTGCGTGCGCGTGCGCACGCGCGTAAGTATTTCAGGTAGACCTTCAATTCAAATAAGTTAAAATAAGTCAAACAGTATTTCGTACAATTCTTTTCAAGAAAATTTTAGTTTTGATGGGTTCTAGAGATACATAGAATGTATCTTGTACAATTTGCCAATAAGCTCAGAAATTGAATTAATTGGCCAAAAATACCAGCTTATACAGTTTCAATTTTATTATTATTATGTTTTAACTTTTTACTATTGTACATGTAATTTCTACATAAAGTTGAACTACTCTTATTTATATTTTTTAAAATTGCATGATTGAATTATTTCTAAATTTTTACCTTAAATTACTCATATTTGGGTTAAAATTTTATATAATTATTTCATGTCAAATAATTTATATTATTAATTTTTATACACATATTAATATAGCTGCCTATGATTTAACCTTGCCACATTTTCTTAAATTAAATGGTTGAATTAATTATTATCAACCAAATTGTTACTACATTTATAATATTATGTCATAATGTTAATCAAACAAGACTAATAAGATTAATAAATTTACATAAAATTATAATCATTTAATCTAATTAATTCATGCCTACCAACCAAATAAAGCTTGATTTGCATTCATATTTTTTTTTATTAATCACGCGGCTAAATTTGATAATAATTTCTTCCCAAAAGATTGTTTAATTCAAATAAGTTATGAATTCAAAAATTTCCTCTCTTCATTAGTGTATTTTCTAAATTACTAAAGCTGATATGGAATTAATTAAACTTAGTCCCAAAATATACTTGGTTGAATTTTGGTAAAAAAAAAAATTCCTTCATGATCTCCCTCTTGGCTGCTATCATTCTCTACCAAAATCCTAAGCCTCGCTCTTCCAAAAAAACTTTCTTAATTTTCTATCTTTCTCAAAACAAATTTCATAAATTATTTCTTTAATTTAGGCAGAAACTTTCAAATTCAGAGTACACGGCTTAAGAAAACTTGCAAGCATTGAAGTTTGCAAAATATTTCTAAGAAATTCCTTTAATATATTTTTATTAATTTTATATATTACAAAGATAATTTTCATCAATATTTGCGAACAATTTTATCACAAGAATTTTTAATTTCAATCTTCATATAACTGTATTATATGGCTGTCAAAAAAGCTCGTTGTTTGCGAACAGTTCGTGTTCGGTTCGTCAATGAGTTTGTGTTCGAATCGTTATTTTTTGAAATATAAAATAATTTAAAATAAATTATATATAAAAATTTATGATATTTTAAAAATAATAATAATATATTAATATACTATATTAGTAATATATTGATATAGATATTATATATTTATATAATATAAGTTATATAATTAATATAATATATTATTTATATATATTAATATTAGGGACGTCAAACTGGCTCATCGTTCGCGAACAACTCGTGTTCGGCTCGTTTGTTAAGAAGCAGCCACGAAAAGTGAATTCACGAACAATTTCGAACACGAACTTATTTCAAACAAACTAAATTTCAAACGAACCAAGCACGAATACAAGTTCTGTTCGTTTGTGTTCGGTTCATTTACACCCCTACTGTATTATTTGTGTTAATATCACTCTTTTAAAATTTATTTGAAATCATATTTCAACCACGTAAAATTACATAACAAATTTAATAAAATTATATTTAAAACTTAAGGCGTGAATGCGAATTTTTTTTAATAAGTTGGCCTTAAGTGATATGCACATTTCGAACCCATGACCTCACAGTAGGAAACTACACCCTCAAACACTATGTTATGGGTAAGTGGGCATGTTGAAATTTATTTTACTAAAATCACATTATATTGTTCAGTGAAATAGATCTCTTGAAATCATAATTGCTAAAGTCATTTTACAAGAATTTTTTAATTGAAACCAAGTCTTTTAGTGGTAAATTTTCATATCAGTTACATCAACTTTGGTTAAATAATATTTCTTCAAATCATTTTGTAAGATTTATTTATCTGTAAATATTTCATTTTATTAAATTTATAAGTACCGAAATTAATAGTGCATTTTTCTGAAAATTTATCAAATTCTGAAATTATCTTTGTTGAAATAATCCTTGTCTAGGTAAAAGCAAAGTTTTATTTTTGATGAAATTTTTGTTTGTCTTTGTTGAAATTTAGAGAAGCATTTATTAAAATTTGATTTTACATAGTTTTAAGTTTTTTCATGATATTGGTTAGCCCAAGTTCACATTTATTTAAATCAAGATTGTCTTTCCCAAAATATAGAGTGATTCTGCTAATATTAAAATTCACTATTGCTGAAATTTCTGACACAAATTTTAATTTTGCTTCCTGTTGCAAGACATTTTATAACTACAAAAATCAGATTTTATTTTTGTCAAAATTTAAAAGTACTTTGAAGAAACCTGAGTTTGAGTTTATCAAAATCTAAAATTGGTTTTGTTAAAATAAAATTTTATTTTGTTTCAAATAAAAGTTACATATTGTATACAATTAAATTTTTAAATTACATTGTGTTGATGCAATTTTTTTGGATAAACTCACTAAGCTAAAATCATTTTTTTATAAACCTATTTTTTATTGCAAGTGTATTTATTCTTCATATAAAATTATAATAAACAAATGAAATCTTAATCTTTTTTTTTTTTTTATTGCAACCTTTATTAGATTGTATGGTGGTAACTTAAATTATTCATAAAATCATCAATTTGAGTTGTAGTTATGTAAGAAATTGATATATTCAATTTGTCTAGTTTAGAGTTGTTTTTTATTTTGTTTTCCTAAGCACTTGGCTAAATTAATTGCAGTGTTATAGCTTGGAGTTATACTAGCCCAGTGTAGGAGAGTATAGTATTGTTGTAATCGCCCTTTTAAGAGAATGAGTATATTGTTCTAGAACTTTGTAATAATAGTTAAATCCTAGCTAAATGTTGGCTAAAAGCCGATGTAGACCATTTTGTGGTTTAATCAAATCGCATAAAAAGTATTGTGCTTTTTGTCACTTATTCTTTTTCATTTCTAGCATATGTTCACTTAATATTCTCATATTGTGGGTGATTAGGTCTTAATTAAAATTATTTATTTTTACTTTTATTAATTTTATACTAAAGATAATAATTTTTAAAACACCCAATTTAAGCCCACCCAGCACACCCCAACCATCACCACCCTCCTTTTAAGAGCCATAATCACTCCTCACTCTCATATGCCAAACTCTTAGTTCTTTGTTCTTTAATTTTTCCTTTTATTGTTGCTAACTATTTAGACTTAACAAGATTATGAATTATGCTTCTAATTTTAACCGTGATTAATAAAATTTATAATCATCTTATATGATGGAACCATACACTAATTCAAAATTATTATTTAAATTCACTGAGCAAGATTAACCTTACGTCTCCTCAAAAAATGGATCATCAATAAAGGCTTCTGATTTTGAACATAGTGACATAAGATGAACATTAAAATAAATTGAAATGTAATCTAAAGAGGATATAGCTCAATCCTCTCGAGACAATGATATGGTATATATCAAAGAAAACAAGAGAGGGCTATCTTCTTGATAGCAAGGAGGTTTCACAAAAATACTAAGGTTATGTAGGTGCTGCTGATCAAAGTCTGCTTAAAACCCAGCAAACAAAAGGAACTATTACCAAAAAGGGAGTTGTTTACAAGGAACCAATCTAAAAAAGTTGAACGATTTCTCCTTGTATTATCCTTCTTTACAAGATATTTAGATTCCTGTTATTCACATGAAAGGGTACATCAATCCCAATGACCTTTTGGGAAGAGATAGAAAAGGAATAGAGAGTTTGATCGAGTAGAAAGAAAAAAAAAAAGAGAAGGTTAACTGGCTATAGGCAAAAAAAAGAGAGAGATGAGAAACATATTATGAATTTTGATGTAAAAAATAGTCTGTAATTAAATCTGGTTGAATGAAGTATTAGACAAATAAAAGAAAAAAAATAGATAATTCCTACCTTCAATGGAAAAAATCAAGAATTAAAGAAAGCAATCAATTGATAGATTAAAAACCATCTAAACTGGTAATTTCGCTGATGAATAAGAAAGAACAAAATGAATTATTTTATTCATAAGATAATCTAAGTCCTTTGTTTTGTGTAACAATGTTCCCTCTACATATTTCAGGGAAACATAAAATTTGAAGGATAATCATGTATGGGATATCCCTACAAGCTTGTAATTGGGCTTCAAATTTTGTGCTCACCTATTGGAAAGAGGTCAAAGCATTAAAAAAAATTTGTGTCCTCCTAAAGGTTATCACGGGAAATTCTCAAAGCCATCTTGGTCTCATGGACGCTTCCAAAAACTACTAGAATATTCTGGAAGTTTCTAAAAGCCAATGGATCAATAAAATTGAATTTGATATAGCCTTCATGCTTTTATCTCATGAGCGTAAAATATAAACAATTTCTTCAAAAATATTGACAAAGGTTTTAAATCAAAAGTTTCAAATTAACAGAATAAGCAATCGGCCAGGTACTTGAACCTGCATTAACAACAAAACCAGTTCATGTTAACATATCCCTGAGGTAATATGTGAGCATACGAACCTGTTGATGAACATCTGTCATGGACATCGTCAGATACAAAAACACTTTTATTGTGGCCAAGACAACTGCACTATTTGCATGTTGAAGTCTATCCTCCAGAAGGTTCATTATGTCAAATATCTCACTACTATCAGATGGTAGATATTTAGAGGCTAATTCAAGTACCAGGCACTGTGCCCATTCATTGAACTCCCTGATCCTGCAAGTATAAAATGGCATAAGAAAAAATTCGTATAAATTTACTGATATAAATTTGAATAACAAAAAGCAGCAGAACTTTTGGAATAAAAGAAGAATTTAATCAAATAACTCTGTACGTGCAAATTTAAAAATATTAGGGGTAGTAAATTGGTTTAGGCAAGTGGGGATCAAATCTGCTTGTTTGAGATCATCATCACCATCATTGGCTTAACCCAACTATTTGAGGCCCTCATAAAGAATCCTCACTTTTCATTCATTCATGTTAAGTGTGGTCTAGATGTTGACATATTATTTAAAAATTATATTCTACAACTTCTAGCCACTATCTTTGGTTTACCAATTTTTTTCTTCATAATACTGGGTAGTAATTTTAACTATTCGTCTATCAGTCGCCTTTTCTAACTTTTATTATACATGTCCAAACTAAGACTATGTCTAGTAAACTTCTCTTCATTAGATGCCATTCCAACAGTTCTTTTAAAATTTCATTATTTAATCCTTATTTTGGCACGCATCTATCATTCTATTTTTAGGATGTCACAGTCAATATAGAGATTAATAAATTATGATCTAACATTCAAATCCATATAATATTAAATCCATATAATATTGTTGGTTTAATTGGGCTTTTATAAAATATGTTTTAAAGTCTCTATAATATTATCTTATCACATGAAACTCCATGGGTACTTCTCTATTAACCCTCAACATATCCTCATCTGCATCTTTATTCTCAAGTAAAATAGATCAAAGATATTTAAACCTAATATATAAAGATATCAATGAGAATTACTAATACTATGCCTACTAAATTACATAAAATATGCTGTATTTATTTCACTAATTTTAAAGATACTATCTTCAAAATATTTCCACAACTATTCTGATTTCTCAATAACTCTATCATTTTGCAAAAAAAATTATAACCAAGGCATCTTGCTTTAATATATCATTTATAAGTACCTTCATCATCAATATAAAGGGGCACAGATTCAATATTGATCTTCGACCTAAATCTACAATAACTGTAAACTCTAGAGTCACTCAATAACTTTTTTATAAGAGTTAATGCTTTTCTATACATATCGTTAATAACACTAATATATCATTGACACATTTTAGTTTTAAAACACATCAAATCAACTCACGCGATACTCAATCATATGATATCATTAGATTAAAAAAAATTATATGAAGATTTTTTTCTATGATTTTTCATTAAATTATTTAACCAAAAATAGTGGAGCCTTCTAGCATTAAACAAAATTAATTCCTTAAAATTGATATAATTTCTCTAAGCCTCTGTTCCACCATCCTGCTGCTTTATTATATGGCTCATAATTTTGATTCCTTTATAATTACCATCATCTTGAAAATTATATTTGTTATTTGAAATTGATATCAAGATGCTTTTCTTGCAATCATTTGCCATCTTCTTAGTCTTCAAAATTTTATTTTAAAATTTATTTTAAAAAATCACTATAATATCCCATATAATTATCAAAATCTCAAAAGGAATCTAAGATACTCTCATGTAAAATAGAACAAAGATATTTAAACCTAGTATACATAGATACCAATTGATTTCTAATATCATAAAATGAGAATTATTAATATCATGCAAATTAAAAATTACATAGCATAAGCTATTTCTTTATTTCACTAATTTAAAGGATACTATCTTCAAAATATTTCCACTGCTATTATGATTTCTCACTAACTCTATCATTTTGTCAAATATTACAGCCAAGGTGCCTTGCTTTAAGATATACTTTCAAAGTACCTTCGTCATCAATATAAAAAGACAGATTCAATATTGATCTTTGATATATATCTATAGTAATTGTAAACACTTGAGTCACTTAATAACTTTTTTTTTTTAAGAGAAATGATTTTCTATACATATCTTTAATAACACAAACGTATAATTGACACGCATTTTAGTTTAAAATACATCAAATCAATTTATGATGCTCAATCATATGATATCTTAAGATTAATAAAAATTATACGAAGATTTTTTTCTGACTTTTCATTAAATTATTTAACAAAAAAATATATAAATAGTAGATCCTTCTAGCATGAAACGAAATTAATTCTTTAAAATTGATATAATTTGTCTAAGCTTCTATTCCACTATCCTGTAGCTTCATTATATGGCTCATAATTTTGATTCCTCTATGATTACCATAATCTTGAAAATTATTTTTTTTATTTAAAATTGACATCAAAATGCTTCACTTGCAATCATTGGCATCATCTAAGACTTCAAAATTCTACTTATAAATTCAATAAAAAAAACAACTCAACCATCCCATATAATTATCAAAATCTCAATTGGTATCTCAAATAGACCTAATATAATGAATAATTTTAGATAAATGAACTTCACTTTTGGATCAATTCATAATATACTTCATATTATTTGTTATTATCTTCCAAAATAATTTCTTTCTTAACTATCACATTAAATAATCTCTTAAAATAGTATTTTTCGTCTTTCATTTATGCCTCATGTTTAGCCAAGATTCTCTTTATTTCACTTTCAATGCATCTAACTTTATCAAAGCCAACAGATCTTATCCCTTAATGTTAGCCATTTTATATATCATATTAAACATACTATATAGATCATCAAAATTCATAACTTAGTTCAATTGAAATTATTAGTTAAAGATATTATTACGAAAAGTGTTATTTGAGATGTTAAATTAAGAAAAAAAAACTAACATAACGATTTCCAATAAACTGATCTCTGATAGTGCAAGGAAAGATAAAATTACCCTAATCATTCAATAGTTATGGGTAAAATAGACGTTGCACATTTAAAATATCCAACATTTTATACACAAAGAGAGCTTCCAACTACCTAATTTCCATGACACATAATAAATGATTTAGAAGTTTTACAGCACCTAATCAATGTGCTATGCCAAACGGTTCAAATTGCTACAAAGTAAAATTACATGATCATTGTAGAGCTTCTGAGAATACAAGAACTGAAGCCAAATATATCTAAAGAAGAAGAAATTTATGCAAATTAAAGTTAAATGAAACATGGCTTGATGCTAAGAAAGGAGAGAAATAAACATAAATAACTAAGATAATAGATAAACGATGTTGCAGATTTAATCAAGTTGGATGCATTAGAAGTGAAATAATAAAAAATTAGTTAAATATAAAACCATCAAGAAAAGATAATTGACGCAAGTGCCTGTTTGCGAGAAGCGGATCACGCCCGCCTTCCGCAGAAGCGAAGCTCACAAAAGTGGGAGTACTAGCCCAATTGAAGGATCAGTTCACTTTTTTTATCCCCCATGGCTAATCGAACCACATTCAAGGATTCATGCTTAGTTTAATTAGATTTCTATTTGGGTTAATTTGCTTGGAACCTATAAATATATCGTAATTCCTAGTTTGAGACACTTTTGCTTTGATTTATGTTATTTGGATACTATTGTTGTTTATTTTTCCCATAGTCAAAGTAATGTATCTTTGTCACTTTCAGATGGTTAGACTGTAGCCTAATTGGATCAATGTGGTGAACTCTCCCCAGACGTATAATGATCTCCTATGTCGTCAATTACACACAACCTAACAATGGTTTTCCTGCTACCAAGCTATTGTCCAGCCGCAAATTGTGCAAGATTTCAGACGTCAACACTTATCTCTCCTTCGTTTCCTATTCTACTAATATCCTAACCCATCACTTGATATTTCCACACCGTCAAAGAACCCTAGATTGGTGTCATTTGGTATCAAAGCAAGTTAAACCCTAAAAATTATGGATTTTTTTTTATTTTCCGACTCTTAAACCTAAAATCCATGTAACCTAGCCTAATATTCCCAACACGATCATCCCTACACTTTCCATCCATAACTTTAACCTAAACCACCATCTTTTTTTAATATGAAACCTCAGCCGGGAGAAAAGGGATATCATGCCATCGAGAAGAAACATATAAAGTGGTATCGAAGAGAACACAATATAGGACCTGTAAAGGTAGATTCTTCAACAGCAACCAAAACTTGTTGTCTTTGAGAGAAGACAACCGAAAGAGGTCATTTATAATTATAATGGTGAATCACCAGATCAAGAGAAAGAAGTCAACCATTTCCATAAGAAAATTTTAAGCAGCGAAGAACCAAAACCCCAACAATTTGGCATTGAACACAAGAGGATGAACAATAACTTTAGGATGAATATCAACTTGCTAGATTTTGACGAACATCTAGATCCGCATGAATTCATTGAGTGACTATAAACAATGGAATATATTTTTTAGTATAAAGATGTTCCCCAAGAGAAGCAAGTGAAATTGGCATGCATTAAGCTCGAAAAGAATGCAACATTATGGTGGGAGAATTTGAAGCATCTTCAACAACAGGAAGTGAACAAAAAATCATTACATGGCCTAAGATAAAAAGAGAAATGCAGCCAAATATCTTCTCTCTCATTACCGGCAAGTCATGTTCTTAAAACTCCACAGCCTACACTAGAACTATTCCACTATGGAGTAGACTGTCAAATTTGATCAACTCATGTAAAAATGAAAGTTTGTGTAGTCAAAAGAGCCCACAATGATAAGGTATCTTAGAGGATTGAAGTCATTTATTAGCAATTTGGTGCAGCTAAAATTTTATTAGTCCATACTTGATGTACAAACCCTAGTTTTGAAAGTGGAGAAATAACATTGACACTAGGGAACTACCACACCTTACATATAGTGCTTGACCTCAGGATCAGGCAGCAAGAGCATGCCCATTGAGACCCCAGCCAGCCCACCATGAGAAGACATCAGCCTAGGATGAAGAAAATGTGGATTCCACTAGCCTCCCAAATCATTTCTATCCTAAAAGTGTTCAAGTGCCAAGATTTTTGACACATTACATCTGATTACCCAAATAGGAGAGTGATTTCTTTCATTAAGTGGAAAACAATAGAAGAAATGGACAATGACATAGGAGACACAAGAAAATGACGATGTCAAAGGGGAGTATCAATTTCCAGCTAAAAAAAAAATATGTCAATTATTTGAATGAAACTTCATACTGAGCCAATAAGAGAACAATAGTAACACTGCCACAACATCTTTCATACTTGTTACATTTTGAAATGAAATGTGTACAACTTTATGATGGACGTAGACAATTATGAGAATGGGGTGTCTATCCAAATGACAAAAAAGTTGAGCCTTCCCATATAGCCTTATTCCCCATATTGATTGAAGAAAGAGAATGAGATCATAGTTTACAAAATGCCTCATGGAGTTCTCAATTGGAGATAAGTAGGATCACGTATTGTATAATTTGGTATCAATAGATGATTGTCAGTAGTAAGATCATCTTATATGTGATTATGGATAGAGAAACACATTCTTTCATCACATATGGGAAGCACATCATACTCTTATCATGGAAGGAGTCCAAGATAATGAAAGTTCATACAAAATTTGAAACTATAATGCCACCAGCAACCATTTTGCAGGCCTTGAGAGAAATACCAATAGAACTAGAATTCGTGGTATACGAAGACTTAAGTATGAGGAGTGGATACCAAACATAATGCAACACTTATTGAAAAAGTTTCATGATATCCCGCTATTGATAGATATTCACCATTTTCAGCCCCTATGGTCTGGATAAACCAACTTCAAGGCTTTCTAATTACTTTAGTTTGATTTCTATAAGTACTAATTTGCATAGAACCAATATATATGTTGTAATTCCTTGAATGAGATACCTTTTGTTTTGATTCATGTGATTTGGAGACAATTGATCAATTATTACCCTTTTTGGAGTGTTCTATCCTTCTCTTTTAAATGTTGTGATTTTAAACAAATTGGATCGAAGTAGTAATCTCCTTTGGATGTCCAACGATCTCTTACGCTACCGGCTCCACAACTTACCAATAGTTTTTCTGCTAGCAAGCTGTTGTACAGCCACCAATTGCATCGGATTTCATCTCCCATCACTTTTCCCTCCTTCGTTGTTTATCCTACAAATATCAAATCATCCCTTGATCATTCCATATAGTTTAGGAACTCCAGATCTCTGTCCATAATATTATTTTGAGAAATTACTAAATGACAGTTTTAAAGAAGAAATTATTTTCAAATAGCTTAATAAATAATACAGTAAAGTGTATATTTGTCAATCCAAAAAGGTGAAGTGAATTTAGTTTGAAATGATGCATAAAGGTAAAATTTTAGGTCCAAATGAAAAACCTATTGAGATTTGGGATATCAAAGTAACTTGGCAAATAAATAATTTCAATTAAATTTTGAGGACTAATATGATGTAAAATAATTGTAAAATAACTAGAATTAGAAGTAGTTGTGAAATGATCTAAAAATTTTCAATTACAATAGTTTCACTTCAAGAATTACAACTGCAACCATATTCTTTTACATTGCTTATGAGAATGCATACAAAGAAAACTCAAAATGAAGAGCTTTGATATATATATATATATATATATTGTAGATAATATATATTTAATTATTTAGGAAGCCATTGAAATAGATGAAAAATAAAACAAAAGAGATGTCTACAAAAATGAGGCATTCAAATTAATAGAATAAATTTTGAATATATAATATGTAATTTTAGTGGTGTGGTATTAATAGTTATTTTGTAGTATTACTATAGCATAAGGTGATACCCAGATGTGCTTGATCTACATAGCTTGAATCTATCATACAAAAGCATTGGGACATATATGAGAATATAATTTTCTAAATTATGTTTTGATGGTTAAATAGAGAAGTGGCTCAAGAGTTTTGTGTGACAAGAGGATATAATGGAGTCTCAATAATAAATTTAACAAAACTATAATCGGGTCAGTAATAATGTGGGCATCCAAATGCTGAGTTATGTAAAAATCATTGAGATCTAACTATAACAGAAATGAGAATGTTAAGATGAATATCTAGCAAAACTAAAAAAAATAAATTAAAGAATAATTATATCAAAGAGAATATAAGTTTAATATGAATTAAAGGTACAACAACAAAAATAAGCCTTTTATCCCACTAAGTGGGTCAACTACATGAATCATTTTTCTTCATTGTGTCCTATTGAGTGTCATATTTTTATTTAATTCTAATAAATTAAGATCATTTTTTATATAACATGCCAAATCTTTTTAGGTCTATCTCTACCTTTCTTAACATAAGTTAAATCTAAAACATCTACTTTGCTAATTGAGTCAGCAGATGGTCGACGTTTAATGTGACAAAACCATCTTAGACAACTTTCTAATCTTGCCTATCATTGGAGCTACAACAACCCATTCATGGATATATTTGTTTCTCATTTTGTATCTAAGTGTAAAGCCACTCGTCCACCTAAGCATTCTCATCTCAGGAACATTTAGTTTTATGCTTCACTTTTATAGGCCAATATTTTGCACCATAAAACATTGCAGGATTCAACACCATCTTATTAAATCTTCCTTTATGTCTAAGCGGTACTTTCTATCACACAATAGGACCAATGTGTTCCTCCACTATAACCATCCGACCTGAATTTCTATAATAACATCCCCATTTGTATCACCATCATTTTGAACAACATACTTGGGTTATCTAAAAAATTCACTCCTTTTAATACTTTATCGCCCATTTTTACAACCCCACCACTAGATTTAGTACTAGTAAAATTACATTCCATGTATTCAGTTTTAGGTCTACTCAAACAAAGGTCTTTACTCTAAAGTTGATCTCCATAATTCAAGTTTTCTTGAAATATTTCTCAAGCCTTATTCACTAGAAGGAAATCATCAGCGAAAAGCATACACTAAGGTACACACTCTTGTCAATGTCTAATAAGAACATCGATAACTAAAGCAAAAAGATATGTGCTTAAAGTTGATTCCTAATATAATCTAACTGAAATAAGAAAATACTTGGTCAATCTCCCTTCTGTTTGAACACAAGTAACAGCTCTAGTATACATATCTTTAAACATAAGTCATATCAACACCTTTCTTCTCTAGAACTCTCCAAAGCACTTCTCTTGAATTTTTATCATAAGTTTTTTTTTAAATAAAAAAAATCACAAGTAAATCCTCCTTACTCTCTATGTACTTCTCCAACAATCTCTCAATAAATGTATAGCTTTCATTGTAGACTTGTCTGACATAAATCTGAACTAATTATGAGAAATTTTTACATCACGTCTTAACCTATATTCAACTACTCTCTCATAATTATGATGTATGACACATTAACTTAATTTCGCTAAAATTTGCATATAGGGACAAAAATACCAATCGTCCATTCCTGAAACATCTTTTTAGTTTTAAAAATAATATTACAAAATTTAGTACGTCAAGAAATTCTCGAGTCTCCAAAATACTTTCACACTTCTATTGGAATACCATTAGGCTTTTCTGATTTTTTACACTTCATTTCCTTTAAAACTTCCCAACTTACATTTTATTAATGTGACATTAAAAATAAAAAATTAATTATTAACAACAATATTAAGACTACTAAAATCGATGAATTGGGCATGTGTAAAAATTAGTAAAAAATGAACCCACAGGATGAATTAATAAAATATATATATCAACGGTGTAACTAAACTATATAGATAGAAGTTATTCAAAATAGTTGCAAGGAATACTTTTAATACTCCAGATAACATTCAATAGGAACAAATGAATATAATAAATTCATAACCTGACCCTAAATAGTTGGCAAAGGCTAGTGATGATAGAGATCATTTAACCACATTTAGTTATAATATTACTCTCGATTGATAACACATGACTTTTTTTCTCCTCAATGCCCATCAAATCAAATCTCAAGATGCTAAATATACTAAAACAAACGCTTTTGTGCTCTTTGTTATTTTCTTTTAGCTATTATAGAACGAAAATCACACATATAATATGTCTTCTGGGCAACAACACTATCATGATTCTTAATATTCAGTGGCAAACTGCATATACATATCAGGGAGTTTTAAAGTTTGTCTCTTTGGGGGGTAAAACATAAAGGATGCATGGGTCGGCTAAAAGGAAAATGCAGGTTGAAATTTAAAAGCTTATTGTACTGGAAAATATATGTACATGCAATTAGCTCACTATATACAGTTCTTTATTTTCACTCCAGCAATAGAAGGGGCAACAACTATTATAGAACGAAAATCACACATATAATATATCTTCTTGGCAACAACACTATCATGATTATTAATATTCAGTGGCAAACTGCACATACATATCAGGGAATTTTAAAGTTTGTCTCTTTGGGGGGTAAAGCATAGAGGATGCATGGGTCGGCTAAAAGGAAAATGCTGGTTAAAATTTAAAAGCTTATTGTACTGGAAAATATATGCACATGCATTAGCTCACTATATACAGTTCTTTATTTTAACTCCAGTAATAGAAGTGGCATCAATCCTAATAGTAAGTTACACACTAAATTTATAGTTGCGTGTTGCATGGGAGCAACTTTGCATCATTAAGTCTAGCACCGAATTTTTCATTATTCAAAATTGCTAAGTAAATTTATCTAGAAGATATTGAGTTTAAAAATCAAAAGTACAAACCTGTTTAGAAGATAGTAAACAACCTGCTTGCTAAGCAAAGCCTCTCTCTCACGGGACACAGTCTCTAAATTACCAGCTTCCAGGCTCCATATCTCCTGCAAGGATGACAGGCAATTCGCAACCACCTGACAGTTGACAATCAGCAAAACATTAAACCAGACAATGACGTGCGCCAAAATGTTGCTCGTCTCTTAAGACTCCAGTTTCCATTTCCTAACCTGTGCATCTGGGTCAGTGAGCATGAGAGTCTTTAGCATGGCTGGGAAATCTGAATCGAGGCATGTAGAGGGGGAAATGTGATAGAGCTTGAGGACCCCAATGGCAGCAACCATCCGTACGTAGGGGCTGCTGTCCCTAAGACCAGACGTCAGCGGGGAGACAAGGTACTCGACCAGATTGGCCACCCGGAGGGAGCAGAGGCTGCGCAGAGCAAGGCCACGGATCATAGGATCCTGGTCGCGGCAATCCTTCTGGAGAAAGTTGATAGTGAGGAGGGCGAGATCCGGGTTAGATCTGGCGTAGTTGCAAACATAGAGGTAGCACATCTTCTTAAGGACTACGTCCGATGTAGCGCTGCACATCACCATCTCGCTGAATGCTGCGGAGACGTCGATCCCTATTGTCATGAACGAGATGACCTTCTTGAAGAGCTCCCGCCGGGAATCGTCCGCTCCAGGGGCGATGCTGCCGGCAAGCTGCCGGAGTTGGAGCTTCAGGTCGGTGACCTCGCTTTTCCTGGAAGAAGAGAAAAGGTTAGAGTTTTGGACGAATGAAAAGTGACGTTGTAGAGATTATGAGAGTTAGGGCTGACCCTGAGGGCTGAGAAGGGGAGGAAGTTTTTGGCAGGTTGGGTGCCGGCGGCGGCATTTCCGATAATCGGAGGTGATGCTCTGATATGCGGCCTCGCTACTTCCCAGTCTCTGCTCCGACAATAACCGGCTTCTCAGGACCATGCACGAACAAAGTGGCGTTGCGGAAATTTTCCGGTGCGACCTGGACGAACTCTGGGACTGTGAACCGTTAAAAAGGCATCTTTTATATGAGGTTTTTAATTTGGGATAATCAAAATATTTAATATAACATTTTGATCATTAAAAAATTTCATTCACAAATGAGTAATGAAAGTGATAGAATTTAATTGTAATAAGAAGATAATTAAAATATTATTTTTAAATATTATGTTGTTAAAATATTATATAGAATATTTTGGATGATTGATATATAAAAACTCATTTTTATTTATGTTTTTACTTTGGGATTTACATACATGTCACTTAAAATTATTTATTCTTTATTTAAATAACTTACCATTGAGATACCATCCAAAACTTTTAAATAGCTCTTATCTACTATTACGATATATTATTTTCATATTGTCTGTGATGTGAAGAATGTTGTTATATTATTCTCATGTGTGCTCCTAGTTTTCTCTCAATCCAGTGTGAAGTTTTTTTTTTAATGTGTATTCTCATTTTATTCCTCGATCTTACACAAGCTTCCACTTTCTTCAACCAGATTAAGATTTTTCCTCAACTGCCTTTAATTGTGCTCCCTACAGGCATTGAATTTTAATCATTGAATCTTGTTCATCATCATAGCAATAACTCTCAATTTCAAAGGTTGAGTGTCTCTTGATTCCCTAGTTGGCTTCCTATTTGTCCATTATGTTCATCCCATGCGAGCTTTCGCTTTCTCCATGTAAACACAATAAAGTTTTTTCGCTCTTGTCATAGATATTCCTCTCCTATAGACCATGAAACCATCTAAATCAAATCATGTAATTCATCAGAGTGATGATTGTCAATCTCAAAGGTTGGGTGACTCCCAACTCTCGCCACATAGCTTCCTATCCATTCTTGAGATTTGTATTTTTGTTTCTAGAAGTATTTTCTCATTGTGCAAAATATACTTATGTCATTATGTAAAATATATTTTTGTAAATTGATAGTGCATTGTGTTGTTTTTATTTTACTATATTGATCAATTTCCATGAAAAAAATTTAGACTTTTTGCTTCTCCACAATATTCAAACAAAACAATTTATGCATTTTATCATGAATGTTCATATTCATTAGTTAAAGACATGTAATCACCACATCAACTATAAATAGGTTTGTCAGTAGAAGTCTGGGATGGTGGGGCGCTCACCCTTATGAGAAGAGTGGGTGGCAAGTGTGATTAGTAGGAATGAGGGTGTGGTTGAGAGCAATGATTGTGTTGAGGGGGGTGGTTTGGATCGGATGAAGAAGATGGAGGCTGGTGAAGAAAATAACTAAAGTGCTCTTGAATCTATAACATGCAACTCAAAGGCCAATCTTGATAATGGTAAAGTGGATTTGCCAAATTAAGACGACATGGATCTGGGGGGCAATCCTTTTAGGGTGGGGGATTTTATGGATGTGAAAATGGTATTGAACACTATATGCAACACGAGTTGAAAGAATATGAGTATGACACATGATGATTAGAATGTTGAAGCATCAACAGAAGCTAGGATGCTCCAGAATCTTCGCTCTTCGCTTCAGATGTGAGAATGTGGGAGATTCAAGAATAAGGATGGGGATCTTGATTATTCCAACAAGGATGCAAGTAAATTGAAAGCAAAATCAAACTGTTTGTGGATGACAATGTTGGGACCTTAGATTATTGTGATATGGTTTGGTTAGAGAAGCAACAAGGTATTGTGAATTTTTATTCTACATTTTACACTGGGAACAAATAAGGTACATTCGGTGTTGACATAAATTCGCCCTCTATGAGCATGACAAACTCTTGGCCCACAGACCAATAGCAGGACTTTAGATCCCAAGGGTTGAAATTTTTTTCAACTACCCATAATTTTTGGCACAAACTTAAGCCAATCAAAATTATGAATTCCCATAGCATCAAGGATATTTCTAGTGACGATACGTAATGTGTGTGAAATGTTTGATGTCATTTCATTTGTTTTCTTCTTTATTTATATCGTATGTGTGCTTTTCATGTTATTGTTGTGTGTACTTGTAGGTTTCGAGTCATAAGTTATTAAGAAGGGAGCACATAAGCTAAAAACTTATTAGGCACTTCAATGTCATCCCTAAATTCTTGAAATCATTAAGATTGATTCCCCAATGCCCAACTATGGCGCCTATGTGCTCAACTCCTTCCTCACATGACAAAAATATAGTTGCAAGAAATTTGACACCTCATTACTAACACTTATACACCTCATTTCAAAAGCCCAATGGGAAAGTCACTGCCCAAGCTAGGCACTCTCTTCACACGACAACCTAGCATTCATCTAGGCCTCCAAGGAGAAAAACCTAAGGACCAGTCTTTCACAAGCCCAAGCGTCCAGACGCCTCATGATGTGTTTTAGCAGTTCCTACTATGCATTTATAAGAGAATTAAATAGAGTTATTTTCATTCCACGTGTGACACTATAGGAAAAGGCAAAGAACACGTGAGAAAAAGTCAAATAATGAGCGAAGGGTATCATTGAGGGAGTGGTCAGAGCACTTCAAAGAAGAAATTCGTGAGAGTGTTGCGAGCATGAACAAGTATTCTCTTAACTGATATCGATTGTTAGAGAGTGTGATCCAGTGTATTGTGTATTCAGAGTGGGTGTAAACGTAGTGGAATCATTATAAAAATATATATATTTCAATGGACTATCTTGTTTGGATTATGCAAAACTACAATTGCTTTGGTTCTGAAATGTATTTCTCATTATATTAATTTTTAATGAGTAGAAACTAAATATCTCACTCCTTGGAATTGATAATCTATGCAAGTTAGTGTAATACATATATTGTGATTAATATATCAATTATAGCACATTGATATTTTAACATTTGCACATAATTGACTTCTGAACTGGCCACTTATAATATTAAAATATATTGTGATATAGTACCATAGAACTAAGCTAGTGAAACGACTACATTAATGTAAAATACTTTAGAAGAATAGAAATATTATTGTTAGAGTAGTGTAATCACGTAGGAAAAAATGGAAATACGAGGATTTTTGCAATGTTTAGGAAACTAAACTGTCATATGAAACCACAAGGCTTCTTATGACTTTAGAAGAGGCTAAGGAGTATTATTTCATGGTTGTCAACAACATTGATAAGGTTAGATTGCTATGTCAAATTCAAGGGAGGTCTGCTCACTTGATAAAAAACCTAATCTTAGTTTTTAGGATTAAACTCTTTGCAAAAATTAGGTTTAATCACTTTCAAAAAAATTCAAAAAATTGAAAAATTTAAATTAAATGTAGGACTAGTAAAAAAAGAACTATCACCTACTTTGGAAATTTATATGCTCCTTATGAAATCAATTGATGGATACAAATATGTATATTACTTGAGCGGCATATACATTTGCATGGTTGGCATGAGCTCCACAATAACATGGCGTCAAGTTTTCGTGTGATTATAGGGGAACAAATTAAATTTCCATTTTATAAGAATTTTATTTGACCTTTGTAAATTATGTTTGAAACTTGTAGTGTTATTATTTTACTATTCTTTGTTATGATTTGTTTCTGAGTTATAAAAATAAAGAAAACCATACTTTGTGAGATTTAGATTTTTTTTCTTTCTACGCACATTCTTGTTTTATTCTATTTTAATGAATTGTGTTCTCATATTTATGTTTCTGTTAGTTTAGGTTCTCTTTCTTATTTGTCCTAGGTGTGCATGTGTATGACAAGTTCTACTAATTTAGTGTGTTTTGACCCTAAAATTAAAAAGAAAAGCTAAATAATTAGAAAAATATAAAAAAACTAACAAAGATTTTACTCAAAATGGTAAACCCTCAAGAATAAAATGTTCACCCATGATCCATAAGGATTTTTCTAACTCATTAGTAGAAGAAAAATATCAGAGTTTCAATAGCCCTACCTTTTAGCCCAACACCTTTGAGTTTGAACCTGTAATAATTTAGATTGTCCAAAAGAACTTGTTTGAGGGATCCCCTACTAAAGATCCAAACCTTCACATAACAACTTCTTAAAACTATGTGCAATCATTATATACAATTGAGTCTCTAATGATGTTGTCAGACTCGGGTTATTTTGATTCCCCCCTTAGAGGCAGCTTAGATGTGGTTAAACTCTTTAGCACTAAGATTTATAGTATTTTGGACCAATCCTGTCCAAAAATTTTTAGCTAAATATTTTATATCATTTGAAATAAAAAACTTAGGAATGATAATAAAACTTTTACCCAGTTTGATGATTATTTCATATATGAATTTTGGGGGAGATTCAAAGAGGTTCTTATGAAGTGCCCACACCACGCCCTACCTGATTCGTTAATCATATAAACTTTTTATAACATACTGGTGAGATATCTGAGGTTGATTATAAATGTTTCAATTATAATTTTTAATATTTAAATTATTTGAGAAGACCTATACACTCATTAAATAAATTACTACAAACAATATAAAAATTCCCTTATGATATAGTTAACCATAGGAGGATTTCTAGTGATCATGATATGAATGTGTCAGTTATCATGACTTCACATGTAACAGCTATATCTTGAAAGTTAGATAATCTACACTTAAATTATACACCAAAATCATCAGTAATAGAAGAGAATGTTTATGAACAACTAGTTGATCCTGTTGTTACATTTGTAGAGTTAATTAATTTTATTAACCTGGACCTAAAAATATGCATTCTAATACCCATAACCCAAGCTAGAGAATCACCAAAATTTAAGTAAAATAATAACAACCAAGTTATAGGACACCATCAGTGGGGTAGCTTCATATATGAATTCTGGGGGAGATTCAAAGAGGTTCTTATGAAGTGCCCACACCACGCCCTACCTGACTGGTTAATCATATAAACTTTTTATAACATACTGGTGAGATATCTGAGGTTGATTATAAATGTTTCAATTATAATTTTTAATATTTAAATTATTTGAGAAGACCTATACACTCATTAAATAAATTACTACAAACAATATAAAAATTCCCTTATGATATAGTTAACCATAGGAGGATTTCTA